CTGAGCAGACCAGTGGAGCGGCGTCCATCCTGAGGGAGGAAAGAACTCGGTCTTCCATTTTCTAACTCTATTCCGGAAATAAATCCGTGGGAATTATACGGAAGGGCATTATATATATATATATATATATATATATATATATATATATATATATGTAAATATATAAGCATATACATAGATGTGTAGAATTCATGACGAACAGATTGTACCAGGAACAACGAAGGGAAGAAAGAAAAACACACGAATATGCCGAAGCCTTTTTCGCTAACGCACGGACGTTTCTACTTACAGACAAACCAAAAGCGGGAATGCGGAGGCAAGATCCCTATAATTCAACGAAGCAGCAAGGAAGGTCCTGAGATGTTCTGAGAAGGGAAAGTCCTTGCTTCACCTGCTCGAGGAGACGCCACGCATACCGACGATCCGTGGAAGCATCAAGACCCACAAGGAGGGAAACCCGTTGAGACCCATCACCAACGGGACCGGGAGTGCTCCACACCGTCTAGCAAAGAAACTCGCAGCGCCTCTATCTGCCGCCTTAAACTCCATCAGCGGTTTCCATCTATCAAACTCCTCCGACATGATGGCCAAACTGCAAGGTGCCGGCATGAAGTGTAGAAAGCTCGTCAGCTTCGATATCGTCGCTGATTACGAACGTAACGATCGACGGGGCCATCAAAGCTGCATAACGAGCATTGGTAAGAATGGACGAGGGCGAACTACCACTGTATATAGACGATTAAATCAAACTCATCCATCTCTCCATGAAGTTTGGCCCGTTTGAATTCAGAGGACGCAAGTATGAACAGATCCAGGGACGCGATGGGTTCACCGCTTTCAGCAGTCCTTGCCCAGCTGTTCATGGAAACCTTTGAGGCTGACCACTACCGAAGAAACGTGGTCTGGTTCCGCTATGTGGACGGCATCCTCGCTGTAGTACCGACCGGGACGAACCTGCCGGATCTCCTCCATAGACTCTCCATACAGTTCACCGCAAAAGAAGAAAGAAATTAACAACTCCCTTTCCCAGACACCGTGATCCACAAAAGACCAGACGGTTCGAGATTCTCTGTGTACAGAAAACCCACCAATAAAGATGATTCCATTCATTATTTCTCTGACCATACCAAAAGGACCATAGAAGGCGTGGTCACTGGCTTCTTCCTCCGAGCCCTCAGAATATGCAGCCCTGAGTTCCTGGAGGAAGAAATGAAACACGTCTGCAACACCTTCCAACACCTCCATTATCCTCGCTCCATGCTCACCCACCTCCGACACAAGGCCGAAAAGGTCATGAGCAGACCGAGAGGTGAAGACACACAAAACAAGACTCAGAGAATAATCATCCCTCACTCGGAATTGATTGAACACCTGGAGGTCCTAGTGGGCCACATTATAATGATGGCTACGTCTTCGGGCAAGAAGATCGGAGATATCGCAAGAGAAAAGTCAAAACACAACAGACCCCTCAGCCAGGTGTACAGCATACCTTGTGGTGATCGTAATAGAGTCTACATAGGTGAGACAGCACGAGGACTGCGCGAACAGCGAATCAGCCAAGACCGCAGCACTCTCCGACGCCACGACACGAGAAGCGCCTTCGTTGTTCACGTAGACACCGACGGTCACCCCCCGAAGTGGTCCTAGGCCTCCGTCATAAAACAAGGCATGGCCCCCACGGCAAACGAAGATGGTAGAAGCGGCGTTCATTCATACAACAACAACATCAACACCGCTACGGGAAGCCACGAACTATTCAAGGTCGTCGCTCACCTGATCACCGACGTGACTTGACCACCGAACATTAGTATAAATACCCCTCTATGTACCTCTTGCCATGTATGGCCTGACGAAGCATTAGCGGAAAGGCCTTCCGCATATTCATGTGTTTTCTTTTTCTTCCCTTCGTTGTTTCTGGTGCAATACATAGATGTATACTTAATATATAATTATATATGAATTTATATATATTATATATATATATATATATATATATATATATATATATATATATATATGTATATATATGTATACACATATACACATATATATATATATATATATATATATATATATATATATTATATATATATATATATAATGTGTGTGTTATTAGTGTGTGTGTACACACACAACACATATATATGCACACACACATATATATGTAATATATATAATATATATATATATATAATATATATATATATATATATATATTATATATATATATATATATATATTTATATATTAGTATATATATACTATATATATATATATAATAATATATATATATATATATATATATATATATATATTATATATATATATAAAGTATATATTTATTCATATGTATTATATATATATATATATATATATGTGTGTGTGTGTGTGTGTGTGTGTGTGTGTGTGTGTGTGTGTAAATATATATTACAAATAACAATATTAAATATCATAATCACATCAGTATTCATCTATATGATTCTATTTTTACCAACGAACCACCTCAGCCTTACCCATTTCGTCTTTCACGTTGACATAAGCGCCTTTGGCGGTGAGTGCCTCTACCACCGCAACATGGCCTTCTTCAGCAGCCATGTGCAAAGGAGTATGCCCTGAAACAAACGAACGAAATGCAGAGTGTACGTAGTTCTTTTTCTAAGTGTATCACACTGATTCTGGGTTTCCCCTTCTGCCTTAGGTCGCGGGTACAAAGCGAGGCGAAACGCGGAAGACCTTGGCTCGTATCAGAGACACTTCGGACACCTGGAAGGGAGAGCTGGACCGGCATCTCGCGCCCGTCAGCTGATCACCGTCGAGGCAGCCCGATGGTGACGGATTCTTCGGCTCTCCGTTTAGGGTCTTCGAAGTGTCTCTGAATACAAGCGTGTGTGGTGTGGTTTGTTGAGGTCTTACTTTAAAGGATCAATTATATATATATATATATATATATATATATATATATATATATATATATATATATATATATTATATATATATATATATATATATAATATATATATATATATATATTATATATATATATATATATATATATATTTCTTCTGTCTTTCTTTTCGTGTGAAAGGTAGGCAGGAAGAGCTGATGCTGCTTAGAAAGGATATCGAGATTTTTCACCAGGAAAATGGACTTGTGGAGAAAAACAGGAAGTACAAATTTGTGCTGATTTTGAATAGCAGTATAGATAGATTAATTATGGTGGCATGTCCTTTCTGTATAATAATCAATTTTCCTGGTTTATATTTAAAGTGCATATGGCTATGACTTACGTCATTAATACATGACAAAAATGTTGGTTGGATTACAAGAATCATGAGAAAATACAGGCCTATATTGATAACTATGCAAGCATGATATACGTATGTAAGCTTCAGTATTGAATGGTGATAATAATGATAATGATAAAACAGCAGTTAGCCAACTAATTATCAAAAATGTTTTAATCGTTAGGATAATGAAAATAAGAACACAACAACAGCAGCACAGAAACTCGTTAAACTATCAGAAAAGTATAACTAATATCTATATCAATAGCAGCAAAATATAGCAGTGATAACTAATGAATTCCCGTTATCTCTACGAAAGAACCGCCTCAGGCTCATCTCTAATCGCTTACCCGCATCGTCCTTCGCGTGCACATCCGCTCCCTTGCCGATGAGCGCCTCCACCGTCGCCGCCTGACCTGCTTGGCCGGCTAAGTGTAACGGAGTGTATCCTGAGGCGTATAGAGGAGAGGGGAAGGCTATATCAGTAGCAACTCGAGGAGGTATCGTGGCATATGTTTCTATTTATGAAAAAAAACACATGGGGTTTATTTTGATGACGTCACAAACGTTACGGATGCTTTAAGAATTTGGTTGATCATTTTTTTTATTTTTCAGTTTTCAAAAAGGATAGAAAATAATGATTTTAATGGTTATATTTTCACTGAATTATCATCAAAATAACCCTGTAGACGCCATGACACCTCGAGTTGCTACTGATCTAGCCTTCCCTATAAAAGAGATACAGAGTGTGTACAATTCCAACCTAGTATTCATATATTCAGCGGCACTCCCGACTATACACTTCTAATATTTTTCACTAATTCTGTCGTAACACTGGCAGTCAGACATACCCTGTGATTGGTTGACTCTAGAATTTAGTAAATAAGGAAACAATATATTGTTAGAGAATATGTTCATGGGGTCATATGCAGATTGGCAACAATACCATTATCATCATTCGGCTACAGTTTTTTTTTTTTTTTTTATTTCAGTGTGGAATTAGAAACAAAAATGCAGAAAGAATACGTTACAGTGCTTTTGAAATGTAAATGGTGTGATACGTAATACTCGGGCATTTGACAAAGAAATGGGTGGGATCAGATAAGGGTATGGGGACCACCTGGTGGGGGGGGGGGGGGTAGATGAGGAATGAGGAATGGGAGAGAGAAGGAAAAGGAGGCAGGAGGAGTTGATAACTGAAATAGGGGAGGGAGGGAGGGGGAAAAGGGAAGCAAAAGGTTCATAAGTTACGAGGCGTGGGTATGTAACAGCATTCGTCTTATCCAAAGTAAAAGAGACTCGGGGGGGGGGGAGGGAGGAAGACATCAAGGTGCGGAAGGGGGGGGGGGTGGCAAGAGGCAATTGTAACGTGTACTCTATTGCTACGACCATAATAATTCTTTTTAGTATTACCATTATTATCACAATTATCATTAAAATTCCAGGCAATCATGACCATTGTAGCAAGCACTTTACTGCTACAACCATTATTGTCAATATCAATATTCTAGCATAAACATAAGTCCTCGGTGATTGGTTGTTCTGCCTCCCACTGCTTAAGAATTGATAAACAGCACCCCTTGCAGAGCGAATAAACAGAGACATAGCAACATCGTATAGAATTTGCCGCGGCGCAATCAGGTGTCTAGAAGAGCGAACTTTTTCCACATACTAGAGAACAAAGTCTTTCAAATTACGAAAATGTTGCGATAGTAACACTATTTTTTTTCTTGTTGATAATGTCATATTAAAGTTTAATTCGATAGTAATGGTATCGAGAATTATGGATATTATGATTCATAATTATGATAAGGAAAAAAAGGTGATAATCCTATTAATCTTAGCATTAATAACAATAATAATAATAATCATTATTATATGGATAAATATTATTTATTTTCAATATTATCATTATTATTACCATTATTATCATAATGATAACAATAATCAATATTAATGATAATACAAGTATTGAAACTCCCTTACACCGTTTTGTTGCCTCCCTACACACACACACACACACACATACACACACACACACACACACACACACACACACACACACACACACACACACACACACAACACACAACACACACACACACACACACACACACACACACAACAACACACAAACACACACAAACACACACCACACAACACACACACAACACACAACACACACACACACACACACACACGCAAACAAACACACACACACACAAACACACACACACACAACACGCAACACACACACACACACACAAACAAACACAAACACACACACATACACACAAACACACACACACGCAAACACAAACAAACACACACACACACGCAAACACACACACACACACACACAAACAAACACACAACACAACACAAACACACACACACACACACACACACCTGAGTTTATACGTGTCCGTGTGTGGTTAAGGTGTTTGTGTAATTGTTATCACTTTCATAATAATCATAACCATCATATTCATCATTTTGGAATAATCATTAGTATTATAGTTATTCCTATTATCATCAATAATACTACATTCATTGATGATACTATAATTATCGTCATTTTTATTACTAAGAATATTGTTACTATTATAAGTATCATCATTGTTTTTATTATGAAAGTTATCATTATATTTTTCATGCCATTATCCTTATCAACGTTATTATCATTATTCTTTTATCATTAGTTTTATAATTATTGCTGCTTTAATATTCATATTAGCAAAGTTTAATTCTTATCATTACTATCATTATAAATATTGTTATTGTTATTACTATTATGATCGCTAATATTATCATCATTATCAATACCCATTACCATTATCATCATTATTATCATTATTATTATTGTTATAATGATCATCATTATTATCATCATTATCGTTATTATCATCATTATCATTAGTAGTAGCTGTAGTAGTAGGATCATCATTATTAGTATCATCATCATTGCCAGTATCACTATCATTAATACTATAAATATCATTAGAATTGGCATTACTTATGACATTATCATTATTATTAGTAGTATGAGTGTGATTATTATCCTGACGATGATATCGAATTTTGTTTTCATATCTGTGCCTTCTCTCTACTTTTCATTATTAGTTGTAGTATTCAAAAGTAGTATAAAATATTGAACTGATACTTATCAAAGTAACAGTAGTTTCATTATATCTATATTTAAAGCATCACTATATGTAGTCCAACTCCGGAGCCGAACGACGAATTCCTAAGAGGAGTCGTGGCTATTCAGCAATATGAACTAAACGGATAAAACTAATTAGTATAGTAATGCCCAAAGACGGTGCCAAACAACGGATTCCTGTTATCTTCGAAAAGGAATCACCTCGGGCATGTCTTTAGGAGTGTTACTGTTGGTTTCCTTCGCGTCCGCAAGGAAATCCTCCGTTGGCCAACGACTGTTCAGCAATCTGAACTAAAGGTACACAACTATAAAAGTATATAGTTATGGCTACATCTAAAACACCAGACTATGTAGTTCAGTGATGGTGCCAAACAATGAATTCCTGAGTAGGGCCGTTCAGCAACCTGAACTAAACTGACAAGAACATATAGTTATGGCTACATCTAAAACTATCAGAATACATCTACATCTAAAACTATCAGAATGTGTAGTTCAGTGATGGAGCCAAACAACGAATTCCTGCTATCTTCAGGAGGGAACCAACTCAGGGATGTCTTTAAGGGCCTTACCATTGGCTTCCTTCGCGTTCACATCTGCGCCATTATCGATGAGGGTCTCTGCCGTCGACTCGTGCCCTTCCAGAGCCGCCAAGTGTAACGGTGAATACCCTTAGAGATGCCGGCAAGGGGTAAAGGGGAGAGATCGATCATTTCTCGGAAGTTATGGACAAATTCAGGGAGAAAACATCATGCATTTGTACAGCTGTTGGCCACCATGTTTCGAAATTTTCAAGTGGGGAAAGATCTTGAAAATAAAAGTACCAGAATTATTTTTCTTGTGCTATCCCCTCAAGTAGTACGTTCTGCCTTTGTGTATGTGTATATATAGTACGCATGTATTGTGGTTTTTGTGCATGAAAAAATATATATGAGTATAGGATTTTAATGGCTTTCACTGACATCTACTGACTAAATGGAAACCTTTCTTGGAGTATATGAAGCCTGATGACGTCGTTCACGTTCAAAGAGAGGTAACAATGATGATAATTAAAAT